GGATTTCACAATGCCCAGGAAGTGGCAGGCAGGGGAAGGCACGGGGCTGTCTGGGAGATGAGTTACTGTTGGGATTCTTGGCCGGCGGAACGCAGAGGAGGCAAAACAAAACCTGCGTGAGCCCCCCATGCCACTGCTGACCCGGCTTTTATTACATGACACACAACCTGCAAGAAACCCTCCAGCATGGCCCCACAGCCGCATCCCACTGCATCCCACCGTATCCCACCCGGGACAGTGGAGCCAGTCCCTCTCTGCTCCCGGGGACATGTGTCCCCGGTCAGCCCTCACCACGGGCACCCAAGGTGGCTGGGGCCAGACACCGCTGCCTTAAAAAAGAAAAAAAGCATCAAGCTAAAAATATCCAAGAGCAGAAATGCTCTGCCTGGGGCAGGCTCAAGCCCTGAGCCCTGCTCCCAGCCGGAGTTAAAATCCAAACCAGAAATAAAACGGCATCGGTTTCAAAACTCAAAACCCCAAACTTCTCATGGGTCCCCTCCGTCCCCGGCGGGTGCTGGTGCAGGCCTGGGAGGTGAGCAAGTGTCGGCAGCGGGGAGCGCGCGCAGCCCAGGGCGCTCACTTCTCCGAGCTCGGTCTCTTGAGCAGGGCGCTGTACTTGAGCGGGACACCGTCTGACATCAGCACGACCTCCACCAGCGTGAAAATGGTGATCACCTTCAGTGAGGGAGAGAAAGACAGAGAGAAGAGGGTTTTTCAGGCAGCTTGGCATCAGGATTTGGTTAGAGCCGTGCTGGCTTTTGCTACCTCTGCTGCGGCACCCATCAGGAGCCGGGGAATGGAGCAGGATGGCTTCAGATAGCTCTGCGGGGGTCCAGGGTGCTCCTGGGGCTGGGGCTGGACGCAGCATCTTCAAGGGCAAAACCACTGGGCTGCAAAGCCAGCCAGGGAACCCAAACCGACCTAAATGAGCCTCCCAAAACATCCTCACTTACTCCAGCCTGATCAGGCCCCAGTCTTGTTCTCCGCACAGTCTGGGAAGGAGCTTGGGTGATTGTGCCCTCGGCTTTGGGTCTCAACCTCCCCTAAAGCCTGCAACTTGGCCAAGCACCAACGGTGAGTTGCAGCGAGAAAGGTTTTCCACATGATGTTGAGCATTTTCTCAGCATCCCGCAAGGGGGAAACGACCCCCCTGTGCCCCCACAAGCGAGAGGAGACCCGGGAAGGGAGCACAATGGATGAGAGAGACACAAGGGAATAAAGACGCGAGAAAATCAATCCTTCCTGTTCAGGAACGCACCACTGCCTGCTGCCACCTCCCCTGACTCCATCTCTTCGTGCAACTGTGTGGATTAGAAGCATAAAGCATTGATCAGGTCTATCCATGGGCTGGCTGGGACTGGGAAGGGGCTGCCCTGGGGCCATGGCCAGGCATTTGGGGACTTTGCGTGCCAGAGCCCGTCCCCAAGCCCTGCACTGTGGCAGGGCTCGTGGGGCCATCTGCTCGGGGCTGGCCCGCAGGAGGAGCGGGCACAGAGCCACTGGCGTAACCTTGTCAAACCCTTCCCAGCTCATCCAGCGCCGGCCGCTCCAGATTAATCATTCAGAGCAGGAAAATCTCATTAAGACTTAAACGTATCAAAGTGGCCAGCGAGGAGCAAACTGCAGGGAAATCCTTTGGCAGACGGCTGCCCAGATAGCTGCTGGCTACCTAGCACCAGCACCCCACCCACCCCAGCTGGCAGGAGTTGGGGGGGGGGGGGGGCCATGGGGCAGCCCCCCACATCTGGGGGAGTCAAATGGGGATTATCAGGGCTCTCCCTTGCAATCCTGCCTCATCCCTTTGCTGAACCACTGAGGAACGATTTCACATCAAATCCCCCAAGTCTTAGATCCATTTCATACTCAAGCCTTGAGTAATGCCACTGAGGTCCTGGCCATATCCTGGAGCTTGGGGAGAGATGGGGGCAACACCTCCCCTCCATGGCAGGGCCAGCCTGCCCAGACCCCTGCACACTTTCCCACAAACAGCCTTCCCCAATGTTGCCACTGCCTGGCCAGGCTGAGCCAAACCGGGAAGCAGAAGCCAAGCGCCGGGGCCAGGCAGGGAGCTGGGGGTGCTCGGTGCTGCGGGGTGTCCGGGTGACATTTCCCACAGTTCAGCATGGCTCCCAGGGATCCGGCTCATCCCGGGGCTGGAGATTTATCAACTCGGGGATCTGCTGGCTCGGAGGACAGCTCAGAGCCTGCTCCCAGGGGAGGGCTCCGGTGTTTTCTTAAGAGGTGTGGAGGGTTCGTGGAGGAGTTTCCTCTACTGCCAAGTGTTTGCTTAACCAAAATGGGCCCTGCTCATGCTGGGGCATCATTTTTCATGCAGGTCCCTGCTAGGGTGTAAGTGATACCCGCTCTTGTAGTAAAGGAGGAACCGAGACCACTTCAGGCCACGTCCAGGGGCTTCTCTGAGCCAAGCTGAGAAAGGAAAGCTCAGCTTCAAAGGGAGGGAGGCCTGCAGAAACGCCTGCAGCAGCCGGGGAGCTCAGCCAGCTCTGACCGCAACATCTCCCCTGGGAAGGAAAGGACTCCCCAGGACATGCATCATATCAGCTGGGAGGGTCAGCCCGGCCCTGCATCAGGAGTCCTCTTCATCCAGCTCTAGGTGGACAAGGATGGGTTGCACTGGGCTTGGTTGGAAATGGGGTTCAAGCGCAGGGCCCCAACCGCAGATGCAGGGATAGGTTGGGCTTCAGCCCTCCCGTCCCTGCCCAGGCAGCAGGCAGGGATCACAGCAGTCAACACAGCTGTGATTTTATAGCAACGCCAGACAAAAGTTGGCAAAGAAGCACCACTTAATCAAGCCAGACAAATACAATTGCTCCCTTTGATTGAGTTACCAAGTTAATAGATGACAGGGACACAAGAGAGAGATTTCTAGATGCTGTTAAACCATTTGACACCACATCTCAGGAAGTCTGACTTTAAATATTCCTCCTAATTGGGTCTCAACCCTGTCACAGGGATGGAAACCCAAAGTAAGGGCCATGCCAGTGAGGGGGCAAGCAATGCCAGGATGGGGGGAAGGGTCTAGACCGGAGCTGCCTTAGGCCTGATCTTACTTAACATCTTAATTGATAATCTGGAAGAAGGAAGTAAACAGCATGTTGATTCAATTCCTGGAGGAAACTGAATTGGGAGGCAGGGCACACAGCAGGCAGGGCAGAGTCTGAAGGCTGTGGAGGGGACAGATGCAGGGGCAGCGATGGGATGGAGCGGGGCTGGATGGGAGAGGAGGTTGAGACTGAGATTGGGCTCTCTTGGTAGGAGACACAGAGGGACAGCAGGACTGACAGCCTGCGAGGCAGTCTTGCCTCCCGGACCCGTCCCTGCAGAATTTGTGGGATCAACCTGTCACACACAGTCTCCACGCCAGCCCCATGGTGTGGTGAGCCTGTCCCATGCTGGGGGGTCTTACCTGGGGCACAGATTCCTGCTCCGGCTTCTCTGGCTCCCACATGAGCGTCAGCTCCGGCTTCCTCCCCACCTTCTGGAAGTGGAAGCCCAGCAAGGGCAGCGCCTGTGGGCAGGGAGTGCGTTGGGAACAGCCCTGACGACATCCCCCACTCGGCTCTCCCCCTCCACTTTGCCTGCAGGTGGGGACGACGCTGCTTTTGCCCAGCGCACTGCCTCTGCAGCTCTTTTACAACCGGGATGCAGCAGCCCATGAGCCTGAGCCCAGCATGTAAATCAGGGGCTGCTGCGATACACAAACAGCCCATATATCACGCTATATGTCCTGTTTAAAGATGTCATTGCCAGCCATATAACCAAGTTATTAAGAGAAGATGCTGTGACTAACCACAGGTGCTGTATCACAGCCTCAGACATACTGTCTGATTAAAGCCTCTCTCCCTTTCCTCGCTTCAGCTCCGTCTTGGTCTCTGTCCCCCCAAATCTGCCTTTATTCCCTTTTAACTAGACTAGGTCATCCACTGCACGTAGCAGGGAGAAACTGGTCCTCAGAGACCGGGCGGCTCCAGACCCCCCCAGCCCCTCGCGCCTGCCCAGGGCCGAGGGATGGAGGGAAAACCCCAGGAACGCTCCCTCTCCTCCGACCAGCCCAGCTCGGGAGCAGCTCTGCTGGCTGTAGGGCTGGCACCCAAGGACACCAGGACAGCCACTCCCTCCGATGATGCCAGGCTGCTGCAGCCCTCTCTGGTGAGGTAGCTTTGGCACTATCAGTGTGAGACACTTACATTGCAGTAGATGCGCTTCTGGACTCCAAACTTCAGCACCAGGACATCAAAGGCCTCGTTCAGGACACCCATCACCATGGCCTCTGACTCCAGAGGACCACACTCCTGCCAAGAGACAGGGCTGTCACTACACCAGTGTCCCCCATCCAGCCAGGTCCCCAGGGGAAGCCAGCCAGGTCCTGGAGCTCTGGTGGTGACAGTCACTCAGTGTGCCCCTCTCTGTTTGCTTTCCCCCAGGGTCAGCTGGGGAGCCACGCAGCCACATGGCCACGCAGCCCTCTGCCCGGTGGCATCTAGGCTGAGCCTTCATGGGGAAATCCAGAGGTGCCTGGGGGGAAGATAGTCTTGGCTCTTACCCTGACAAAGATGGCAAAGAAAAGGTCAGCACTGAGCTCCTGCACCCTCTTGGAAGCCATTTTCCGGTCATTGCAGTGATCTGCCTGTCTCTGGATGGCCTCTTTCTCCATCTTGATGGGGGAGCTGGCACCTGGGAATTGGACAAGTGGACAATGATGTGCTCATGCTCCCCCCTGCTCCGGAGCCAACCCATAGCAGCCTGGACCCAGATGCCCAGCTTGCCCCCGTGTCCCTCCTAGTTGAGGGCACCCACGGGCCAGGGAGCTGCCCTGTGGGATGCAGGCTCCAAGCACTCAGCACCCATGGCAGGCAAGGCAGGAACCCGGGAGTCTGCCTGTGCTGGGCACAGCCACCCCCTCCCCTTGCAGCACCCAGAGCTGCTCCGCAAGCGGCTGGGCAGCACCCACCGAGCGAGGCAGAGAGGAGACGGTGCACGATGATGTCCGCGTAGCGACGGATGGGCGAGGTGAAGTGCGTGTAGAAGGGCACGTTCAGGGCATAGTGGCGAAAGAGGGTCTCGTCCTCCAGGACGCCGGTGCAGAAGTAGAGAGCCATCTGAAAGGGGTGAGAAGCGAGGGAAGGGGGTGAGGAAGGATAGTGGCAGGACCCTGCACAAGGCTGGAGGGATCTGTGTCTGCGGGACAGAGCTCCAGCACCCCATGGTCCTTCACCTGCTGCTCAGCTTGGGCTGCGCAGGGACAAGACAGGCACTGCAGGAACTGAGCACAGAGCAAAGGGGGCAAAGCCACTGCAGGAAGCTGCTGGCTGCCAGCTAACCCTGGCTGGCCCCAAGGATTGCACCAACTTTCACGTCACACATGGGTTTAAGCAGCCTCCTGCTTCTGCTCAGGCCTTGGGGCTCATTCGCCATCTTCCAGGGGACAGCCCAGCCTGTCCTGTGCCCGCCACGGATGCTCTGGGTCTGGCTGCAGGCTCTGCACACCCATTGCACCTGCTTGGAGAGCACTGGGGGCTGGGACCAGTGGCTCTCCCATTCACTGAGAAGAGGAGACAGCCCTGCTGTGATCCCCGCTGCTTCATCCTACGATGACAGCTGGGAAGGCGAGCGTCTGGACTGCCTGGCTAAACCAACACTGGGGCTGTGGTGGCACCCTGCTGCGCCGCAGCCTCCTC